CCTGCACTCTCGAATCTCCCCTTGCACGGGTCACAGCGCCACCAGGACAGTTCAGCACACAGCCCTTTTGCTCTCTGTTGCCTGGAGTGAAGTGTCTTGTATGTCTCAGATGACCAGGAAGGCAGATTTCATGGACCTAGTGAGAACTCCGGGAGCTGTTGTATGGGAATCAGGCGTTTTTTGTGGGAGTGGTGGCCAAAGGCTGACTGCAGGTGTCTTTGTCAATTACTGCCCTCCTGTGTTTTGAGACAAGCCTTCCACTGGAGCTTACTTGAGAGCCCCAGGGATCTTCTTGTCTCTGCCTCTCTGATGTAGGGATTGCAGGCCCTTGCCACCATGTCCTGTTTTTAACATGGGTGCCAAGGAACTGAACTTGGGTCCTCATGTCTGTGCAGTGAACACTTGAGTGACTGAACTACTCCCTGGCTCTAGAGATCTATTTTTTTAGGAGCTCCTCAAATGGTTATGCTGAAGAACAAGGAGAAACTTTGGGGTTTCCACTTTAAATAGGTAAGATTTTAATGATGTACTGTAAAGGATTAATATAAATCTGTGTGGTTTTAATCTGACTCTCCCACCCCTCCTCAGCCCCATGGTTGATTATTTTACAGCAAATCCGAGACATCCTGTCACTGTGTCAGCCTGCATCTCTATTACAAGAGGACTTAAAGACACATGTAGCCCCAAAGCAACCATAACACCTAGCTCCATTCCTGTTTATCCTACAAAATCTTAGTGTCAGAGCGTACCTGATTGTTTAACAACAACACAATTCTCAATCGCTTTGTTCAAATCAGAATAAAACAAAACAGGTCTTCGGATGGATGCTCCTCTTGCTGTTCTGTTGCTCAGTGCCCTTGTTGCCCCCAGCACTTGGAGGAAGCTTGGCTTCCCTCTTCTCTCCCTAGTCTTTTAGCTCCTCCACGCCTTCTGCTCTCATCAGGACTCCCCAGAGGCACTGACTTCTGGCTGCACATGCTATCCCTCAGCCTGGACACTCTCCTTCCCTTTCCCTCCATTGGATGCCACTTGGAAAATTCAGCTGACCCCACAGCTCTGCCAGACCTTGCTTAGACCTAGTTTATTTAAGGTTTGTTTTGTTGTTATTTGTGTGTACCTGTGGTATGATAGTATGTAAGTGCACATGTATGTGGGTGCCCTGGAAGCCAGAAGAGGGTGTTGGAGTCCTTGGAACTGGAGTTACAGGCTTTTGTGAACCACCCGCTGTGGGTACTGGGAACTGAACTTAGGTCTTCTGCAAGAGCAGCAAGCTCTCTTAACTGCTGAGCCAGCTCTCTGGCCCCCTCTCCCATACCGGATTTAATCCGCTCGCAAACAGTCTGCCCATTATTTTGCAACACTTACTTTGCAGTGACTTATCTGTCCCTTCCTGCTCCTTCTCTCTCCACCTGAGACTGAGGGTAGGAGCTGCATCTGCTTTGGGTCCCTCTTGGGTATGAGACCAAGTGTGAAACCTGGCAAATGGTAGGTCCTCATGAATTATCTTATGACATGATGGAGAAGCCACAGTACTTAATTCCGGCATTTTATAAAACCTAAGTTGAGCTCTGGAGCACTTGGACATTGGACTATCACACACAGGGGATGGAGGGCTCTGTAGGAGTTACTTCTCCTAAATAGAACACTGCTTCTGCGTGCGTGCGTGCGTGCGTGCGTGTGTGTGTTTAACACCATTACCTCTGATCATATGGGTCTGTCCAAATTAACTAGCTCATTCCATCTCTGATGGCCAGCAGACACCTCCCTTCCTCTTGTTTCCATTACTGCCACAGCTAGCAGCAAAAAGACTCAGGACTACATGTGCTGCTGTAAGAGTTCCTTCGTGGTGGGAGAGAACGACGATGGTATGCAGACCTGGCCCCTTCCGTACGCTGGTTCCTCAGTGTAGCCAGTGCCAGTAGCCTGCCGCTGGTAAAGTGAACCGGTGTGCCGCAAACGCCTCCTGTCTGATGACGTTCTCTGTCAGGCTGTAGTGGTGCTGCTGGGATCATGGAGGGTGACATAGGTTGATACACAAAGAGCCTAAGGTCTGTGGAGGGAAAGCAGTTGCTGAACAGCTATACAGACTGCCTCAGTCTGATCCTGTTTTCTCCCCCTTCCTACAAGGACTCTGATTAACCGGGAAAGTTCACAACCTTGTGATATTTACACGTGGTTCATTTTCCTTTTTATACCTTTTCGTGGGATTGTCAAATGCACTCTGCTTTTGTAAGTGATTTATCATTTCTGCTGTGACTTCTGAGACTGCTCAAACTTGTGTGAGTCTTTGTTTCATTAATTGCACAGACTATCCTGGAAGGTTAGCCTTTGCCCGGGTTTGTATGTGGTGTTATGTCACCCGTGAATTGGGACTTAGTGGGTGGTGAAATGCACACGGGTCCTTCCTACAAGCACGGGGCATGTTTGTTCCTTCTGGTGTTAGGTAGAGAGTTCTAAAGTTTCTCAGGAGGAGCGGCAAGTGTGACCCATGGAGGTGTTCTTGTTTGTTTGTTGTTGTTTTTAAATTTTACCTAAGTAATCTGTTTTTGATGAAGTCTGTATTTATTAGTTTTGGTCTCTAGCTTATTTTTAAGGACTTCCTCCATCTGTAGAGATAAATTTGAGAAATTTCCCTCTCTTAAATGAGATTCATAGTACTGGTATCACTCCTAAGTGGCACCCTAAACTTAGAATTCATTCATTCATTCATTCATTCAGCCAGTGTGGATCTAATGCATTAGATCAGGCTTGTGCCAAGCACAGTGGAGGAAAAAGAGGGCGGAGACCTCGAGGAAATTCCAGCCTAGTGGACAAGCCCACCTAGAGGTAGAAGTTGTGTAAGGTAGCATACACTTTGCTGCTGGGTTGCGCTCTAGGAGGGTAAAGGAATGGTTGCTGCCTCTGGGTTTTTGTAGTGACTGATGGTAGGAAAGGGTAAGTGACTCCGTGCACTGGCCCTCTGTCAGGAGATCCAGGTTCTGGAGCTGCCTCAGCTGGACCAGCTTAGCGATCTCTGGCCAGTCCTTGGGGCCAGCTTCGTCTCCTGTTGCCTGTGCTGTTCAGTCAGCTCTTCTGAACTCGAGGTCTTAAGGGACCCCTAGCTTAGATAAGGACAGTGACATCGTTTCTTCCTCTTTTCCTACTGGAGTTCTAAGGCCAGCTGTCACCATGCAGGCCCTGTGATGTGCACACACATCTGGCCAGATGTTGTCTGGTACATCGACCCCCCCACTCTCCACTCTTTTTAGTTATGTCTCCCTTATCACAGGCCTAACACACACTACGTGAAGTTGGGTCCCCGAAAGTTCCTGGTCTAGACAGGTTGGGTCTAAGACACACTACGTGAAGTTGGGCCCCCGAAAGTTCCTGGTCTAGACAGGTTGGCCCTCTGTGCTGTCAGTTCTCCTTTTGGTTCTTGGTGGCTGTCTGTCACTCTTTCCCCTCTGTGAGGACAGGCTCGCGGTCTCCACAGGTGTGGTTGATTGCCAGGTGGCTGTTGCCGCGTGACCCACCTTAAGTTTTCTGCAGGCGATACTGGCTGATCTTCTCCCGCCTGTGTGAAATCTTTGGCTGCTATGCTCTGTGCTGTTTGTTCACCCTGGTAGGGAGGCCTTGGGGGTATGTTTTCCTCATGGGTCCCCAGGCACTGATGATGAGCAGGGAGAGCTGGAGGGTTCCGTTGCACCCGGTGCAAGGTGCATGGCATCCTGGGCACGGAGCTCTGCCTGGGACCCTTGCTTACATGCCAAGCACTCCAAGTACCCTTTCGTCATTATTGTAAATGATTTTCCAGGGTGCTAACCTGCTTCCTTCCTTCACCCCCTCCCTCTAAATGAAAGCATTTTTAGGAGAACCATGCCCCCCCCAAATCAGGGCAAGATAGTAGGGGGAATGTTTTGACTTCTTGATTGGCTTGCACATTTTAAAAGGAGTTATCCTATTTCAAACACTCAGAGATTACCCCGCCCAAGTCCAGGCCCACCCTTCCTCTCACTGTGTGCTCACTACACCCTGGGTTGCTTTTGGGGTGCTTCTAGGCCAAGTTTGGGCCTCTAGTGCTGAGTGCCCACCTGGCAGGGTCAGCAGCTTCCCCTAACCACCCTGGCTCCGCTGTGTTGTTCAAGGTCAGGGCACTGAACCTGTAGGTTGGTCCTTGCTTTCTGGATCCTGGCTTGCACTAGCACTCCAGAGTGCACTTGCTGTGTGGAGTCAGGGCAGCGCTGCTTTGGGGAGCATCTTCTTCCACAGACGACCCTTTGGAGGGGGAAAGAAGGGGTGAAGTCATGGGATCCAGCTTGCACAACCGTGAAAGCCGGAGTCAGATGGACTCTTGGTACGGAACGGAGGCCTGGCCGGAATCCTCTGGAGTTTTGAATGCATTGACTACTTTGTTCTTGATGATACAGCGTTTGAATGACCTCAGTTTACTGGGCGTCTGAAGGCACTTTTGTTGGGTTTGGTAATGGCTTCTTATTTCTGAGAGGCACTTGTGCTCTGGACCTCAGGCTGCTTTTGGAGGATGGGGCTCACTCCTGTCTTTGAGAGGCAAGGCCCAGGCAGGTCTGGTACTGGGAAGCTGGGGCAGGTTCAGTGTGACCTTGTTAGGTCTCAAACCTGGGACAAACGGCTGACTGATATTGACATCGTAGCCGACACTAGCTGCCAACATCCCTTAGTCCCTAGTGTTACAGGCCCTCCTGTCTGGCATACTCCACCCTGTACCCTAATCTCCAGTCCAGAGACTGGGCTGGGTGTTCCCTCTCCCCAACTCTTCTGCCCCCTGTATAACTTAGTCATCTTGGCTACATCAGTTTCTTGGCTCAGGCTGCTCCTCTTGGTCAGCAGCCCTTGTGTTTTTCTCCCTACCTCTTTCTGCTCTCACGACCCGGCTCAGACTGGCTATGTCCTCTCTGGACTCTTCCAAATGCCTCTGACTGTTCTCTCCTTCATACCCACAATAAACCTTCTCCGCGGTACCTAGGAGCAATCATGTCCTCCTATTTATTTATTTGTTTTATTCATGACCCCTTTTAAGTTTTTTGTTTTTTGTTTTTAAATCAGTCGTGGAGATGTGCCCAGAGAGACTGAGCATAAGTAAATACAGTTTCCTCCGTACCAGTCCCCTGGAATACAGCAGGCTGGATCCATTGTTCACCTTAGGGGCTGGAGAGCGAACTTCCTGGAAGCAGTGCTACTTCTGCTCACCCATTGGGAAGCTTTCTGGAATAGTGAATACATGGACTGTTGGGAAGTTGGACTCCAGGAACCTGGGTTGGCCTGTGGGAGGGCCTGCTTCCTCCTCTGGGTTGGCCTGTGAGAGGGTCTGCTTCCTCCTCTGGGCTGGATCCCATCTTCAGGGGTCGCCTCTCGAAGATGCACTGAAGGCCAGGACTCAATGGTTTCTGTAGATTTGGTCTTAGATGCTGATTCAATTACTCCGGTGCTTCTTTGGACCTTTTTTATTTTCTTTAATACCTGGTATTTTATTTTTGCCAGGCTTTCCCCCCTAGAATAAAGGCACATTCAATAATAAGAATTCCCTACCACCTAATACAAAATGATACTGCTTGTCAGTTTGAAGAAAAAGCAAATTGTCTGCTTGGTGTTTTGGGATTTCCTCTCCCCCCTCCCCAAAAAAAAAGGGAGGGAGGGAGGGAAAAAAGCAGCTTAGAGAAAATCCCTGAACATAGTCTCCTGATTGAAAAATATATTAGTGGTTTCTTGGCTCTATCATTTTCTTAGAGTAACAGTTTTCCTCATTTAAGAGAATGCATTTCTAGCTTTCTCTTTTTGAAAAAAGCAATACCAGAACAGATTTTTTCCCTAAGGTTTACAAATTGGAAAAAAAAATCTTATTCTATAAAATTGTATCATTGGAGGTATGGAGAGATGGCTCACTGGTTAAGAGACTGCCTGCTCTTTCAGAGGAACCAGGTTCAATTCCCAGCACCCACAATGCCTGTAACTCTCAGTTACAGGCAAACCACCGATGTGCATAAAATAAATAAATAGACAAATCTTTATTTTTTTTCAAAAACTTGTATTATTGGAAAGGACTTTCCTTGGACTGTGCCTCAATCGGGGTCGCCCCTGTGAGACTTCCATGGTGGAATTACTAAGGTCTCACACTGCAGCTCTAAGTTCACACCTGCGTGGTAGAGTTGGCTACCTCATCAGACCCCTCTAAACTTGTCTCCCCTCCCCTACCACACACCCCCTTACCCGTTATCTCCATAGGGGCCACTGAAGCAGGCGATGGGGCCTGGCTCTACCCGCAGAGTTCACCATGTTACAGTGTATGTATGGCTCTTGTTTGCTTTCCTAGGCCTGCCCTCCGTCTCTGTTACATAGAGCCCATCTCTACTTAATCTGTTTCCAATCTTAAATTCTCAGTAACTTTGGCATTGATCATTGGCTGATCAGTTTGTGACATGTTTTGTTGTGCTCTGCCACTAACAGACTAAAGCACATTACAGATGGTTTTGCGGTGGCCGGACATTCTGAGAGGCACTGGTCTGAGTCTTTGGCTCCTTAGATACTTGTTTGTCCTTGAGCAAGATCTTTGTTTTACATTTCCATCTGTGATGTGGGAATAATGATTCTCTCCCATGGTTGTTTAAAGAATGGTATAGTAGGGCTGGAGAGATGTCTCAGAGGTTAAGATCACTGGCTGCTCTTCTAGAGGTCCTGAGTTCAATTCCCAGCAACCACATGGTGGCTCACAACCATCTGTAATGAGATCTGGTGCCCTCTTCTGGCCTGCAGACATACAAGAATGGCATAGTAGTACAATCCTTGTACTACAGTGACATAGTAAGTACCACACTAATGGCGGAGTGTGTGTGTGTGTTGGTGCTGTGGGCCAACTATTGTGTCTTTCCAAAGTTCATATGGAGGTGCTCTAAGTTCTGATGTCCGTTTGATGTGGGGCTCTTAGAGGTGAGGTCAAATGAGGCTATAAGAACGGTTGTTTGTGGATTGGATCGGTGACTTTGTGAGAGGTGAGAAAGCTAAGACAGGTTTCCTTATACAAAGAAGGAAGAGGATTCCCTCTCACCTGTATGGTCTTGAGCACATACACAGATAAAGGCCATGTGAGGACAGTAAGATGGCAGGCAGCTGTCTTGGTGTCAGGGAGAGTGTTCTTATCAGCAAAGTAGATCTGCCAGCTGGACTTCAGCTTCCAGAAGGGTGAGAAATCTTTGTTGTGTGTTCCACCCAGTCAGTCTGTGGCATTTTGCTATGGCAGACGATACAATATGGCTCACCTTTGCTCTAATTAGAGGCCACTTTGTGAGGTGACTATTCATCAGGTGTGCCCCACATTCCACCAGGGAGCCGGTGAATCGATGCCTCAGGGATGCCTTTGGTTTCTCCCCAGTGGCCTCAACGAGTGCTACTCTCATACGAAACAATTAAAAGATGAGCCTAGGGCTGGTTATCCCTCCAGACACTGCATTTGGAGATCTGAGTGTTTGACTCCTGGTGCTTTCGGGCGGTCAGGTGTTTGCATGTGAGCCTGTACCCATGGGCTTGCTGAGTGGAGGAGAAAGGATGGGAGGGTCCAATTTTCAGTGTTGGGTGTTTGAGCCCCTTTGAAAAAGACCAGCCATGAGGTGTCTAACTTAAGTTCCAGGCAGTAGGCTTAGACCCAGAACCCTGCATGTAGACATTAGCTAATATTCCTTAATAGCTTATAAGGCTTATAACTTTATATTCTACTTCCTTGTCTGTCTGTCTGTCTGTCTGTCTGTCTGTCTGTCTGTCTGTCTGTCTGTCTGTCTCTCTTTCTGTGTGTGTGTGTAAGTCAGAGGCCAACCTGGATGCTGGTCCTCACCTTCCATGGTGTTTGAGAAGGTCCCTGTTGTCTGTCTGCTGGGCTGTAGGCATCCAGGGGTTCTTCTGTCACTGCCTGATTACAGATGCTCACACTGCGCTGCACATCTGGTTTTTACATAGGTTATGGGGATCTGAACTCAGGTCCCCATCCGTGCACAGTAAGTGCCTTTACAAAACCCTTGGGTCTTCTTCCCAGTTCTCTACCTCCTTTTAAGTGAGGATTCCCCCATGGCCTAAGATACTTTGCAGATGGGCCATTGAAAATAGACAAACCCTGCAGAGACAAGGGAAAACAATGTTCCAAATTGTTAGAACCAGTTTATTCTTTGAGATTGAACATCTTGCCAGCCAAGGCAAGTAGAAGGTCATCTTCCCAGGTAAAATGCCCAGAATTCACTGGCTTAGCTCCTCCACGGAACATAAAGCCTTACAGCTCTCACGGCGCCTTCACTGTTCAGGAAACGATCAACACTGCAGTTCATCCTGGCCTTGTCCTCTGTCCCTGTGGACCCTGACACTGGCACCTTGTCTCAGAAGTTCCCTGCCTGCCTGGGCAGGACTCTGTCCACAATGGAACTATGGGCTGTGTTTCTCTTTGTCTCTATGTCTCCATGTTGTTTCACACTGCCATTTACAAGTAGATGAAACCATCCTGGACTTTCCTGCCTGGTGGTGGGGGTGTGGCTAATGTACCTGAACGGTGAGTTTGCTTGTTTGTTTGTGTTTCTTAAATCAAGATTAGAAAATGGTTATAAGGGGTCATATTCTGTTTGGATGGTTGGAAACCTTTAACGTTTTTAGTGTCTTCATTGCCACTAGCCTGTTTGTAGTGAAAGATGACCATCTCATGATACTAGTGGGCAGGACTGGTTGTCTGGTTTGGCCTCGGAAGATTCCCCTGATTCCTCTGCTAGGTAGAGGTCTGGCTTGAACTCTTGAAAATCTGTTTCTTTATTTGTAAAGTCAGGAAGCATGGATCAGTAGAGCTCATCTCTGGTCCTGCATCCCAAGCCCTGATGGGCATCCCTCATCAGTCATGAACCCTACCTGAGTCTGATTCCTGGAAGCCACCGGTTATCCATTAGGATTGGTTTCAGAGAGAATAAGCATTTGACAGCCATTCAAAGCCTTTGTGGCTCTTTTAGCTTTGATGACTATAGCAATTTCTCAGATTCTCCTCTATTGTCACTATAGTGGGCTGAGGATTCACCCACCTCCAAATTCAAATCCACCTGGTGGCTCAGAATGTGTGACCTTACTTCACAATAAGGTCTTTGCTGATATGATCAGTTAAAATGAATTAGACTGGGCCCAAAGTTCAATGACTAGTGTTTTTACAAGTTAAAGACAGATAACTCGGGCTTAAAGCACTGCTGACAGGCCTGAGTTAGATCCCTGCAAACCATGCGGTAGAGGGAAAGACCTCACAGTTTCTCCCCTGACCTCTACATGTGCTCTGAGGTGTCCCTCCTTCCCCCAGGAAATGGGTGTAATAGACACAGAGTGGAAGGTGACACCACCACAGAAGGTACAGCCACACCCATGCAACATCAGGTCTTACACAGGGCCACCAGGAACTGGGAATTGTCCAGAAAGATAGTCCCTAGAGCTGAGGCTCCCTGATTTCAGATTTCTAGCCTATGAGAAAGCAAATGTCTGTTTTTAAGCCACTGAGTTAATACTAATCAGTTACCAAAGTCTACAGACTTCGTACACTCAGCCTCTATTTTTATTTAAAACCTACCATTGCTTCTACTCCCTAGAGGCTCATAGGTCACTCCACACATCGTCTAGAAAAGCCCAACATGTCTGATGATGTCGTCACTGCCACGCATTGTGGAAAGAACACAGCATCTCTCACTGTTGTAAAAATTCAGACATTGATAAAAAAAAGCCTGCTTTCCCAATTAATAGATGAAAGCTATGAATCACTTTATGCTTTTGTGAGACATATGTTTAGCTCTGACTCCCTTAGGTCTTATTGAAATCACCGGGAACCTGGCCTCTGCAGTGTAATTTCACAGATGGTGCGGACTCCAGCCAAAAACGACGAAGAAGGGAGAAAGACTGAGCCCAACGTGCTGAGCTAACTTGAGTGTTACCAGAAGTAGGGTGTTGAGGGGACATTTGGGTGGGCACTCTCAGAACACCTCCCCCACTTCTCCTATGCTAGTCCCAGCAGGCAACTTCCTTTCCCATGCAGACTGCCTTTTGGGATGGGTACCGTAGGTGAATCTTGTTCAAGGTGACCTTTAAGATTTTGCTCACGTTTTCCCTGCAGAAATACTAACATCTTTGTCAGGCATTTTTCATGTTATTTAATGACCTCCCCTTCCCATGAAGTGGGTGATTATTGTCCCACTTTATAAACAAAAGAGACTAGTGAGGTGATCTGGCACATGGAAACCAAACCCAACTCTTTTCCAACACTCAATATGCCTCCAGTCCAGCTCCAGAGAGCAGGTATGAGGACAGTGGCTTGATCTGAAAACACAGATGGCGTAGATGCCTCTTAGAGAAGTAACTGGTGGGAGAGGGAAGGGAAAAGCTTGAGATAGAACGGGATAGATGGGGGTGCCTTACTGGGGGAATGGCACGTTGACATCCAGGCCTACAAAGCTGGGGTGTTTTCTGGAAGAGCTTCTTAGACTCTAGAGCATAAACAGGAGTGGAAGGTGGCAGGGTGGTGGTTGGGCCATTAGGAGGCCTATGACTGGTTAGAGTCCAGCTATGGCCAACGATTCCAGCAGGGGTGATGTAGGTTGATTAGCTGCAGTGGGGAGGGGCAGGCGGTTTCAACTGCCATCTAGAGGTTGATGTCCCAGGTTCTGTTGATGGGGTGGGCAAACAGGGCAGGGGAAGAATGTAGGACCTAGTCTTCTGATGCCAGTGAGAGCGAGGACACGTCATGGGATGGAGCAGGGGGAGAGCGTTAGCTTAGGGGGCTCCAGAGAGAGGTGAAGGGTGTGTCCTGGTGTGGTTGACCAGAAAACTAAAGATGAGCAGGCGTGTGGAAGCTGAACCGCACCAGGGAAAGCTTCGGGAATAACCGAGGATCGTGTGAAGGACTGGATGGAGCTGGTTTGACTTTCCATTAAGCACACATTTGCAGACTGCGGGTGCCAGGATGCTTGGACTCAGCTGCACGTTACACGGTTGGGGTGCTGGGCAGGGGTAGAGTGAGCTGGGAAAAACTGTCTGGTCATGTACTAGATGTTGTCGAGAATGCTTCATGAAGCTGAAAGCAAGTGTGTTATCCCTGTGGCTGAGGGCCTGCCAGGAGCATGGTCCTTCACCAGTTACCTCCAATGACGAGACCCCTGAGTACTGTTACATGTTACAGAGCAGTGTGTCGCAGTGGCAGTTCAGATACCTTTGTGGTGAGTCTCTTGGAAAGTAGACTCTCTCCTGTGGCGGCCACGTTTGACTCCAGGCTAGGCATTTGGGGAAACTGGGCAACACTGGAAGAGATCCAGAGGATAAAGATGGCCCGTGGTCCTGGGGCTGAAGATGTATATCATCGTGGCCTTTCTGTGTAGGAAGGGTGGACAGCCCAGCATGTAGCCGTGGAGGAGCAGGTGACCACCCTGTAGTTAACAGGAGAGGACAAGTGAAGGATGTAATTTGAGTTACTTCAGCATTGGGCACAGCAAGGGGCAGATTTGTGGATCCTTTGGAAGTCTGGTCCCCATGAGCTATCTGAGGTTTGTCAAATATTCTCAGGAAGGCTGACTGATTTTCAGCTCAAGTGTGAGTTTGGAGTTGAGGGTGTTGGTCAGCCTTCTGTCACTGCAACAAACACCCAAGGAAAGCTTTGTCTTGAGTCACAGTTGTGGACGCATTGCTCAGGGTCTGTGGCGAGTTAGCATACAGCAGCAGGAGTGTGTGGTGAGCAACACTTCACTTAATGGCTGTCAAGGTTGAGGGGAAGAAAGGGAGCGCCCCACCCCCCACCCCAGGGCCTAACTCCAGTCACCTGACCTTGTCCTTAGAGCAAGCTTCAACACACAGGCCTTGGGGGCATTTAAGATCTAAAAGTAAGCCTTGAATGAAGTGCTTTGGTATTCTTGGAAAAATAGGATTTAACAAGAGGGACAGGCTATAGAGAGCAGCCTTGTGGGGAAAGTACCGTTCTGCACCACAAGTAAGCTTGTGATCTGTGTGCAGGTTGTCCTCTCTGCAGAACTGAGTGTGCAATGGTTTGTGCCCTTTCCCATGCCTTGGAGTAGCCATTCTTCATGGGAGGCTACTTGTATCCCTGGGACACTTGAGCTACACCAACAACATCTTCTTCGGGCAAGCTCTTCCCAGATGGGCTTAGTGCCTTTAAATACCCAGGTAGGAAGGTCACCTGGGGGGATCCGTAAGACCCTCCCAGCAGTTGCCTTTTGAGAGTCTGGAACTGGTGGTCTGTTTCAGAATGTAGGCATGGTTCCAGTGAAGTGAGAAAAGCCAGCGCCTCGCTTCTGTGCTGCGCTTACCAGTTTTACCTTCGTTTGCTTCCGTTCCCCAAAGGTAGACATCTCATGGCATTAAAGAACTCCTCAGTGGGCTCCCTCTCACAGGGCTGAGCACCATAATGCCGCTTTTATTTCAAGGCGGAATGACTTGAGTCTGAAACATTGCACCGCAGTGGTGGGAAATCTGATGTCTGGTCGCTCAACAGCAGACAGATTTGTGTGTTTTAAGTGTCTCAACCAGGATTCCTCCCAGGCTGCTAGGGATGTCCCCAGGCGTGTCTGGCTCTCAGAGGAGTCCTGTGAGTACACGAGAGGGAGTCTGTAATTGCAGAAGTTGGGGTACTCCCCAGCTAAAGTAGCAGATGCCTTGGCTTCCTGCTGGAGTAGCTTGTCTCAGCGCCCACCCATGGTGCACACCACACTTGGAGTATCCTGGGTAGTCCCTATCAGTGGGTGGATGATGCCACAAGGGAGCTGAGACTGTCCCTCCATTTGCGTCAGGGGCAGTTCTTTGCTTTTCTTTTTGTTGGGGAAAGAATAATCTTGGTGCTGAACAAAAGAACACACAGACAAAGCGAAAGTGATTCAGCAGGGATTATGTCTTTTTGCAAAAGGGGTGTGCTAGAACCCAAATAGGTTTAGCAAATACGCTCACCAAAATGGCTTCCGTCTTTTCCTCCAGTGTAGGTGGTGACCGCATCCTATCTTACTGGTGAGAGCTCAGCTTCACAGTCCACTGTGATTGGCTGATTGGCACAAAAGGAAGTGAGTTGGTGTCAAGAGATACAGTGCCCTTCAAATAACTGTTCTAACATTATTGTCCAGTAGGTTAGGGCAGGCACAGCAAAATACCACAGCTTGGATGACTTAAACAATAGGATTTTTGCCTGTACATTTCCTTGTGTATATAAAGGCCAGAGGTCAACCTCTGGTTCCCTTTCATCAGGAACCTACCCTCTTGTGTTGAATCAGGGTCTCTCATGGGCCTGGGGTTGGCTAGGTGGGCTGGTCTGGATGGGCAGCAAGCCCCACATCTGCCTGTCTGTACCTCCCTAGGGATGAGATTGCATGTGTGTATGTGTGTGTCTGCACAACTGGGTCTTGGGAATTCAACTTAAGTCCTTATTGTTGTGTGGTGAATAACTTTACCTACTCAGCTATTGTCCCCCTTTTATCATGACAAAAATTCAGATGTACATGTAAGTTGGAAGAGTGACTCTTCACCCTTAAAAGCTCAGCATGGACCTCAGGAGCAGACGTGTTGCTCTGCTTAACCACAGCACTCCTATCCACTCAAGGACGTTTAAAGCAATTGCACATATGGCCTCATCTACACCGGATTCAGGTTTCTCTAGGTAGCTTCCAAAGTCTTCAATAACTTTCTGGTGTGTGTGTGTGTGTGTGAGAGAGAGAGAGAGAGAGAGAGAGAAAGAGAGAGAGAGAGAGAGAGAGAGAGAGAGAGAGAGAGCGAGCAAATACAAGTGCAGCTGTTTTCTTATGATGCTGTTGAACTTGGCCCTGTGTCCTCTGGATAATCCCAGGTCTCATTGGTTTCATTTAAGCAGTTGACAGGCAATGCCAGGTGCTACCTAACTCACCAGATCCCTCTAGGCTGTCCCCAGTTAGAGAAGCAGAGCTTGCCCCAGGTGGGTTTCCGTTGGACAATGCGTTTTGTTCCTTACCATGAGTGTGCACACCATAGGGACCTGATTGGGGACCATACAGGCACCCATTGGTGACTACTCCCCGAATCATTTCAAGCGGAGTTGCAAGATGGCGACTGCGGGGATTCTCTCACTAGCTGGTAGTTCTTAACAAGGAACTGTAATGACCAGTTTTTACAGAAAAGGGTTAGTACAATACTTGCTCCTAATGGTGGGAAATAAATCCCTCTCTGTGACTGTGACTATGGACCCATGGGGTTTTCTTCAGTCAGGGTTTTATAATCAATTGCAACCATTATTTTGATGCTCAAATTATCCCAAATTTGGCCCATGAGACCCTTTCAAGCTGCATTTTATGCCCTTTGAACATGTCCCTTTTAGTCTTTAACTACTTCCTTGTGGCTTGAGCTTATCTTTCATTTTCTGTTTCAAGACCCAGAATCATTCGGCGGTGCAGATACATGGTACAGATAACTATTATTCTCTTTTGTTTAAAGTGTGTGTGTGTGTGTGTTTGTGTGTGTGTGTGTTTTTCATGTAGCTCAAGCTGGCCTTGAACTTCTAATTCTGGAAATTACAGGTGTGTGCCACCAAGCCAATTCCCTAGCTCCTAAAGTTAAAAAAAATTAATTTTTTTTAATCAACTCTGTTGGGACATAATTTACTTACACATAATTAAATTACACTGGAGAGATGTTTTGACTTGGGCTGGAGAGATGGCTCAGAAGTAAGGGAGCCTGCCACCAAGGTCTGATAAAGAGTTCAATTCTCATACTCACATACCCGGTGGAAGGAAAAATTGACTCCTGAAAACTGCCCTGCAGACTCCACAGTACACACACACAAACCAAACAAACAAAAACCCAAAAGTGAGTAATAAGACTGTTATGTGTATCCCCCTCTCACCCAGAATTGTTTAGTTTTGTTTTTGTGAATGGTAAATGTCCCTGTGTGGACTTTCAGTTCAGTTCTGTGTTTTGGGGGGCTCTGATATGTATATATTGTGATATGCTTCTCTGGCCACCTCTTGGTAGATCCTGATTATTTCCAGCTTTTAGATATTATAAGTAAAGCATCTTGGAACATTCTTGACCATGTCTGTCTGTAGACCTTTGACTTTATTTACTTGAGGAGGCCTTAGGAGTCTGTTAGGTGGCCCGTGTGATAATATATGTGTAGCTGTTAATGAAATTGCCAGACTTGTTTTACAAGCTGGGGTGCAGGTTTGTGTACTCATTCATTACTTCATGTTCTGACTAGTGCTTACATTGTCAATCCATACTCATGGTGTCTTATTACTTCCATTTGTGTTATACATCTTTGACTTTCTCTATAGTTTGAGTAGATACACATTTGCATGTCAAAATCAAAACATATGTGGTGAAATACCCAATTTGTATTTCCTGCAGCTCTGCTCTGGGACTTGTGATTTAAATGATTTGAAGCTCTATTACACACCTGCTGTGTGCGAGACTCTGGGCTCACCTGTCACTGATTATGAGCAAAAATGAAACAGGGGTACTAGAGAGATGGCTCAGTGGATAAGAGATATAGTTACAAGGACCTGAGTTCAAGTTTCCAGTACCCATCTTCAAAGCCGGGCATGGTCATGTAAGCCTATAACTCCAGTGCCATGAGGGAGGAGACAGAAGAATGGGCGGGCCTGCTGGCCACCAGCATAGCTCCTGTCTCAGGAGAAAAGTCAGCGAGTACTAGAAGACACCCAGCATCCTTCTCTCATCCCCATAAGAGCATGGCCTCACACACGTACTTGCATATACATGTTCATGCTCATACATACCCCAGCCCTAAACACGCCCACACAGACAATGGGGAAGAAAAGAGAAACAACTTTCATAAGGCTTACAGGTGAGTTAAGGGGACAGTAGTCAATGTGTGCCTCCAGGGAGGCTATAGAAGGCTGTGGTGGTCCTACATAGATCTCCCCCTGCTTTCCCAGGAAAAAGACATTCCCCAGATGAATTCCTTCTCTTCATACTGGTTGCAAAATACTTGGGTGTAAAATGCTGTAACTTCAGGGCTTGTACCAACAGGCTCAAACCCTGGGAAGTTAACACCACCCACTGTGGGAACCCAGGGTTCCCAGGAAGCCCTTGATGAGCCCGCACTTGATCATTTGGCTTTAGGTTAAGACTCAGCCTTGGTCCTCCCAAAGCCCTGACTGAAACATGCCTTCAGTGTCTAAAAAGTAAGCTGAGTGTGGTGGTGCATGCCTCTATGGGGAGGCTGAGGCAGAAGGATTGTTGGGAGTAACTAAAGAATATCACTGCAGGGCTAGAGCGTGCCCCTCAGTGGTGGAGGGCTAGCTTGGCATGTATGTCTCTAGGCACCATTCTCTGCACTGCAAAAGAGAACATAAACATATATCAAGTTCCCCACCCTTAGACACACACACACACACACACACACACACACACACACACACACACACGCACACGCACACGCACACGCACACGCACACGCACACACACACACCCTGAGGCTGCTCCTAGGACTACACTTAGAGATTTTAGTCTTGTTCTGAGTTCCTGCCAGGTCCCTGACAACAGAGCACCCTTGATCTTCAGAATGAGGTGACTGGGTGTTACAAAGTGTGATTGAACAGTTCTTAGGAAGCACGATTGAACAGTGTTCTTAGAATAGATGAACTCAGACTCTGGCTCCAGTTAACTCTGGACAGCGTCTCAGGTAAGGTGTTCTGCCAGCGGCTGCCAAATGTCCCACTTTGTGCTGTTGGGCACTTCGTGGTGTGTTCTGAGCTGTTATGCACTTGGCGGTGTGTTCTGAATACAGTTCTTCTATGCATTTAGAGCGACTCAGAACCATAGTAGCAATGGATGATGCCCTAAGAAAGGAATCCTGCAGAGTATTTTTAGCAGCAGCATACTTCTTTAATTCTGTAATCGAGTTCCATGCTCCACAGCTTACTTCTCTTTATAAGAAGATGGTTCTGCTCTCCCAAGGTATGCTGCATAGTAAATTATTACAGAAGTATGGATGACCTATTTTTCCGCCTGTCCATGACTTAAAGAAATCGCATAGGAATTATTAGGTATCCATTGTGACATGTAGATTCTTAGAGAAAAACTCTAGGGTAATCAATTCTGTTTTTAGCTTGTCAGTCACAGTCCTGGCAGGAGATTGATGGCTCCCTAAAGTGAAGTAACTGAGGAGAATTTGATAAAGACTAGTTCACAACTGTGGGCAAGCGTATCGGAAGCAGCTTGGAATGACGTACTCATCCTGGAGGGAAGTGGATGGAGGCTATGCCAGGGCATGTTCTTGCCCGGTGGGTCCGAAGGAGTAAAAAAGGAAGGAGTAAGTCTTAGAAAGTTTGAAGAGAGAAAGTAGCTGAGCTTCCTAGTGCTCGGAAGGGACCATGACCTTGAGAAACAGATGCAGCTAACCCGCTGTGCCCAGTAGGACCAAGTATGGGATGACGTCCTGCCTCCTGCTTCCTCCCTTCTCATGGCTCACTGGTGCTTTCCTTTAGAGGGGCCAGAGAGGAAGGCAGTGAGAAAGAGAGCCTGTGGATGCGTCATCTTAATGTCAACTTGGTGTGGGAAGGGAGCAGGTGTCTCTGCCGGGCCCTTGGAATAAGTCCGGCATATATGAATCTTGGGGGCCTCCCTCATCCCATGTCTCGAGTACCTGATAGGTACACTTGGTCACAAGTGCCATGGGATGAGTGTGGCACTCAGTTGTCAAGTGGGTCATGGTAGGGGTCTTGTTAATACCTAAAGATCTTTCCTTCACCCCTGGCGATGTAGCTCAGTTGGTAGAGTGCTTGCCTCGTATGCATGCAGCCCAGGTTTAACCCCTAGCACTCTATAAACCAGGCATGGGGGTACAGGAGACAAGTCATCATCATCCACATAGCAAGTTTGAAATCAACCTTGGGTATGTGACCCCCCTCAAATAAAAAGCCTCAGAACCCCAAACTCTTTCCAGGTAAGTTCTGATAGTCTTAATTTTAAGCAGTTGATATTACTTTTCCATGCTTGGAAGAGGGTACAAAGATCAAAAGCATCTTTCCTGAAGAAGGACATCCCTGTCTCCCTCCCTCCCTCCTTTCCTTGAGTGGCTGACTTTGTAGAGAAAGAGGACAGAGCAGCTTTTGTGAAACATGGGCATCTTAACACTCTAAGAAGTACTTTCCTGTGCTAGGGGACTCTGACCTTGGGTGGGACCCTGTGATGGCTAGTATCGATTGACAGGATCTAGAACCATCGAGGAGATACACCTCCAGGTGGGCCTGTGAGGGAGTGTCTAGAGTGGGCTAATTAAGATGGGAAGATTTATGTGAATTGTTGCTATACCATCCCATGGGCGGGTCTCTGGGCTCCATAAGGGGGAGAAAGGGAGTTGTTGAGCACCAGCCTTCACTCTCTGCTTCCTGACTGTGGTTGCTGTGTGACCAGCCACTTCATGCCTCTGCTGCTATGACTTTCCCACCTTGGTAGACTGAACCCTCCCAGCCGATCTAAGTCCCTCCTTCTTCCAGGAAGTATTTTGTCCTGATAATGCATAAAGTAACTAATACAGACCCTGTCAAGTCACCAAGACTTAACTGGTCAAAGCAAGTTTTTGTTAATATGGTAAGAAAACCACATTCTATCCTGAAGTATACCACGTGCTAAAGGTTATTCTTAGGGTTACCACAGAAGGGAAAGCCCGCTGAAGTAGACGTGCTGGCCTGTTGTTTATGTAGACAGTTAAGTTGCACAGTCGGAACACTCCAAGGGCATTTCTGTCTTGTCTTCTGTATTCAAGATTGAGAACTGTGTTCACATATGTATGCTTTTGTAAGTGCTGAATTTGTATGTATAAGCACTTATCAAAAGTGTCATTCCTGTCCTCACTGTTGTGTGTGCACATGGAGCCCTTTCCTGAGAGTCGGGTGGTGTGTGTGTGTGTGTATACAGTATGTGGGGTGTAATGTATGTGTGGAGGGGGTGTTTGGTAGGTGAGGTATATGTGTGTGCAGTATGTGTGGTGTGTGTGGTGTGGAGTGTATATGGGGGAGTTGGTGTGGCGAGTATGTGTGTGTGTCTGTGTGTATGCATGCATATACATAATGAATGCACAGACCCTGATGTTAGAGGAGAATGTCAGGCTTCCTGCCCTATCACGCTCTATCTCATTCCTTTAAGACAGGGTCTTCACTAAACCTCAAACTGGACGAGTGCCCGGCCAGCGAGCCCCAGTGATTCTCCTGTCTCTTCCCCCTCCCTGCCCCACCCCCTTCCCAGGACCGGGTTATAGGCACTTGCATACTCGGGTCACACCTAGCTTTTCAAGGTGGGTGCTGAGGATTTGAATTTATAATAGATAGATGTTGGGGCTTCCTGTGTTGTTTGCCGTCGTCCTGTTGTTGAGATCGTTGGGTGAATGTGGAGAATAGCCATTCTGCTAGACTGGGCAGCAGCCTAGGGACCCTCCCTGTCCCTGCCTCCCCAACACGGGATCGTGCTTTGTATGTGGGTGCCTTCAGGATTTCACACCAAGCACTTGAGAGACGGAGCCGCCTCCCCAGCCAATCAGATCCAGTTTAGGCAGTATCTCATGTAGTCCAGGCTAGCCTCAAATTGATATTTAACTCTTGGTCTTCTAGCTTCTGCCTTCCTAGTGTTGGCATTACAGGTGTGTGCCACTACCCTTGGCTAGTCTACCGAATTTTGAAAGAACCACATTGGGCTCTGGCTTTCTCTTTGTCATTTCTCTGGGTGGTGCTTTTTTTTTTTTTTTTTTTTTTTCAACACACATCTTCTTGCCAAGAGACTACAGAAAGACAGAAAGCTTGCAACAGAGCAGAGGTACAAGCTGTTCTCACATTCAGGGAAGTGGTTTATCTTGGTATAGAACTTTATGCAGATGTGAGAGCCTTGGGAACCATATACGCATAATTGGAAATGTTTGGCAAGGCTGGGCTTTCTCGAATTGCTAACCTGAGGGTTGCAGCTTTGAATCCTGCCACTGGCTCTTGCTGAGCATGAACTGGGCCAGACTTCCCTCTTTATAGGGCTTGGGTTTTGTGGCTATAAATGCTTTAAAACCTTCTCAGATTGCTTCATGGAGTCTTTTAGGTTCACCTGAGGTATGTGATCCCTGTTCGGATTTTGTCCTTTAAAAGGAGAGGTGACATTTCTGCAGGTAGATGGTCACCCACCAGCAACGCAAATAGAATACAGCATGGAGGACCGCAGTATCATAGGCTGTGTCTTTTTGTCTGAGACAGTTGACTAAGGGAAGTGTGTGTGTGTGTGTGTGTGTGTGTGTGTGTGTGTGTCTGTGTGTCTGTGCGCATGCGCGTGAGCCACACATCAGAATGAGCTTGAGCTTGTGTGTGGCACTCCTATTCTGGGATGCCCATTGCTTATTATAGTGATCGATCTGAAAATTAATTGTGATTTTTAAAATGTGGGATGCATCTGTATCGCAGCTGGCTGCTGCCGGGTTGTGGTGTCTGTCGAGGTGTGTTTTGGTGCCGAGGGTCCAGCTTGCTTCAAGCCTCTGTCACTGACCTCAGGCAAGTTTGCTAGCCTGCCTGAGCTTTTATTTCCATCTCCGGATACGCCCCACCTTCTAGGCCGGCTGGGAGAATTAAGTGAAATAACCAGTGTCAGATGCTCCAGGGTGCACTGGGCACACCGTCGGTTAATGTTAATGGGATCACAGCTGCTGTTTCTTTGTAGCGCCTTTGTCACCGTCGCTGACAGTGTGCACATCTGGGTTGTAAGCTGGGCTGAGATTTACTGGACTTGGCAATGTACTGAGTGCATTCAGTGTTATTCCTTGCATAACATCCTCACAGATAATCTGAAACATGGGCCAAATTTTGGAAACCTTTCTCACCAGCCTCCCATTAGCCTTTGGGGGCAGTCAGAGTGATTGGCAGCTCTCAGTCAAAGGGATGAGCCTGCAGGACCTCAAGTTGCTGTGAGTTCTCCAGTGAGCTCAGAGAGATCGACAAACTGGTGGAGCCCAACTGCAGGACCTCAAGTTGCTATGAGTTCTCCAGTGGGCTCAGAGAGATCGACAAACTGGTGTGGAGCCCAACTGCAGGACCTCAAGTTGCTATGAGTTCTCCAGTGGGCTCAGAGAGATCGACAAACTGGTGTGGAGCCCAACTGCAGGACCTCAAGTTGCTATGAGTTCTCCAGTGGGCTCAGAGAGATCGACAAACTGGTGTGGAGCCCAACTGGTCCAGCCATGTTAGGATCTCACAGATTGTGTGCCTGTAGTCTAAGGGAATCTCCATGTGACTGGTAAGGTTTTCACACCAAAACTTAGGAAGCTTTGATACTGGTACTCAACAGCAGGATTCAGCAGGAGTAGCATTTGTGAGAAGGCAAGGGGGTGTGATGGTTATTAATACTGTCAACTACCTTGGAAGGCACTTCTCCCGGCACACCTGTGGGAGATTATTTAGATTGTGTTAGCCTCGAGACAAGTTTGGTGAGGGATTTTTATCTTTGTGTTTGTTTACAGAGACAGGGTTTCTCTGTGTAGCTTTGGCTGTCCCAGGACACTCTCTGTAGACTAGGCTGACCTCAAACTCAAGTTACCTGCCTGTCTCTGCCTCCTGAGGGCTGGGATCAAAGTCTTGAGCCACCACCACCCAACTGGGATTGTCTTGATTAGATTAATGAAGTGACTAAACCCACCCTAGAAGAGTCAGGCTGAAAGAGAGGCAGTTCCCAGGGCTCGGCAACCGAACTGCACGAAAAGAAAACAAGGTGCACACAAATATTCATAACTCGCCACCTCCTGACTGCGGACATAGTGGGAGCTTGGGACTGTTGGCCTTTTAAATTCTCCAAAAGAGGCCTCTAGGAGATAAAGCATGCCCTAGACAGGGGAGGTTTTGGAGGTAGCTGGCTGGCATGTGATGTCTTTTAAGTCAGAGTGTAGAAGCTCAGGTCTCTACACTTGGTCACTGCATAGTGAGCTGTTTTTGTTTTTTGTTTTTGTGTGTTTTAAAGATTTATTTATTTATTACATATACACTGTTCTGCCTACATGCCAGAAGAGGGCACCAGATTGAATTGTAGATGGTTGTGAGCCACCATGTGGTTGCTGGGAATTGAACTCAGGACCCCTGGAAGAGCAGTCAGTGCTCTTAACCTCTGAGCCATCTCTCCAGCCCCATGGTGATCTGTTTTAGGGCCAAGTGAACTGGTGTTTTGGGTAAGGATTCATCCATTCTCTTCCACCTCCGTCACATGTGGGCCATAGCTAAGGCTCTTGTTCCCCCTGGAAGTTTGGGACTGGCTGCTTGCCTGCCTGAGCCCTACCTTGGCGGTTCCCTCCTGTCCTTGGCTTCCTCCATTTTAACCAAGATTTAGGAGAGCTGAGAGACTCTCACACTTGCCTGTTGCCGGGCTCTTCAGCTTTCTTCTACTTGTGTCTGGGTGGTTTCAGATCTCTCTTTATAGCATGATGCCACATAGGCGAGGTCCATATGCAGACGTGTGTGGAAGGCTATCCTTCACTCCTGTAATGCCTGGGCTGGAACTTAAAGTCACTGGAAAGGCGGCAGTTTCTCCTTAAAAGTGGCATTAGTAACTTAGCGGGATGCTGTGGCCCAGAGTTGGATCCAGAGCTCAGGAATTCCCAGGAAGGTCTTGGTGAAGGTGATGGAGGGTATGTCTGTGGTTGCCACTGCCTGAAGACAAGCACACAAACCAGTGGTTTTGGTTCAGAACTTAGGTCCTGTGATTTTTTTTTTTTAAGCAGAAGGCGCTAAGTGTACTGCTCCCCTTGCCTCGCATGCCTGTCACTAGCACTTAGAACCTGCCCAGGGGCCTCCAGCAACTTTTAGTTTTGGAAATAAGGTGATCAAGTTGTCTGTGCCAGTTAGATAAGATCACACCGGAACATTTAAAAATAAATGAGTAACTATGGGTAACCAAAGATAAAGTGGTCCTGGGAGGGTTGGTTGTAATCTATCCAGGGGTGTCTGTGTTATCCAAGGGTGTCTGTGTATGTCAGATTCCAGCCACTGTAATTGCCCTCATAAAATATTATTGCAGTTTCTGAGTCACCTGAATGCTGGTGGAGGTCGGGAGAGAGTGCAGAGTCAGCTAGAGCCCAGCGCCTCCCCATCCCCCTCCATCCAGCTCTTTCTAACATCCTCTCCTGGGTGTTTAAGTTCTAAAATTAACCAGTATTTTTATGAGTAGATGGAGTAAGTGCTGAATTTTACTCTTCACAGTGCTTAGCTCTAAGTCAGTTTCCCTTCTCAACTACAAAAAAAGCATGAAAAAGGCAGCCAAATACACGACTTAAATTTCTTCGTGGAGTTTATTATTTTATGTGTATGTGATCTCTGTGTGTGTGTCTGTGTCACAGTGCATGTGAGGAGATTAGAGAACAACTTTCTAAGAGCTGGTTCTCTATTTTTTTTTCAAGCCTGGCTGTCTTATAACTCACTTTGTAGACTAGGCTGGTCTTGAACTCAGGGTGACCCGCCTGCCTCTGCCTCTGAGTGCTGGGATTAAAGGTGTGTGCCACCACTGCCCAGTTGGTTCTCTCTTTTATTTTATTTGTCTTCTGAACTTTACTCTCTGGTCAACAGACTTGGGAAGCAAGCCCCTTCCTCTCTGAGCCGTCTAACAGCTCTCAAACATGGGTCTTTCTTTATCTCACTATTTGTCCTCTTTGTAATTTGCTTGCAAGTTCGAGGCCAGCTTGGGCTACATAGCAAGGAGGACTATTAAGTTTAGTACAGAAGAGAACAGTGCATAGAACAGAACAGCCCACGGTGCATATGTTTTTATCACCTCTATTTATTGTGCACGCTGGCGCGTTTGTGTGTGTGTGTGTGTGTGTGTGTGTGTGTGTGTGTGTGTGTGAAGGTCAGAGGACATCAAGAGAGATCTCTTCTTCTACCATGGAGACCAGGTGTTGAACTCCTTTTTATCAGGTGTGTCAATCAGCACCTTTACCTGTGGAGCCATCTTGCCAATCTTTATTATTATCATCATCATCTCACAGTTAATTAGTGAGTGTGTATCCATGTGTGCAGATGTGATCTCACAGGTCTGATGTTACCCTATGGCAGTATCATTCACTGGTGGTTAATAGAAAAATGATGGGATGGATTCTTGGTAAGGTTAATTTGGTTCTAGTTGAATCTTGATATTATTTTGGTTTTACTTAAGTGTTAATGCAAGGCGATTATTGATTCTTCCTGCATAGATATACACACACAAACACACACACACACACCCCTCCTTCACTATAAATGGAGAATTTGCAGTCATCATGCTGGGTGTGTCAAAGGATGCCTACCCACCCCTCTTCACATAGCCAGGTACCTGCAGTGAACAGAGCTCATGGATCTGCACAGTGCGCAGGTGACACATTAGAGGTGACTTCCATCTAAAGTCATAGCATGTGTATTGGCAGGGGTGGCGGCATTTCTCTTGTGCTACCTAGAGGATGCATGGTCTGCAAGCTTGGAATATCCTGCCCTGAGACTGTCTGAGAGCAGATATCCTGATTCCCTCGCTGAGGGGCTGGTCTCCCTGCTCCCTATAGCAATATCCTGGCTCCCAGGACAGTGTGTTGAGTGAGAAGTGAGCATTTCTCTTTCCTATCCCTTCTGTATTTGGTGAAAACAAAGCTCTCCAGACTGTTAGAGAGAATGTTTTAGGTGAACGCTCAAGGGATCTTTGCTTTGCCCCCCCCCCCTTCTTGTCACTCTATGTAACTGTGGCTGTCCTAGAATTTGTTACGTAGACCAGGTCAGTCTCGAACTCAGGGAGTTTTACCTGCTTCTGTGATTAAAGGTGTGATCCACTATGCCCAGCTGGAATGTTTCCTTTTTGCTTCTAGAATAACTGCCTGTTTGTTACAGGAAGGGTACGGACTTCTAGAGAAGAAAATTCTCTGCGGCCATTGTTTCTCCTCCCTCCTGCTTCCCTCTTTCATGTCCTTGGCTGATTTCCTAGTTGATTTTTCCCAGTGGTTTTGAACTGTAAAAGCTTTCTCCAGTGTCTTTAGACTGCAACCAATAGAACTGTAGATAGACCAACCGCAAGTGCTCCTGGGAGTCTGTCCCGTGCTGAGTGTTTTATCTTGGTCCTCCCCCCCATGTCTCTTGAGGCCCACATCTAGACATTGTGGTCATTTGTTAGAATGACCTTTCTTCGTTCTGTCCCTACCCCCTACCCCAGTTTTATGTAACTTCCACTGTCACTAGAGACATTAAATGGATTTGCTGCTTTGGGTGGGCTGGGTGTGGTCCCAGGTGCACTGGGTATGCCTTCATCACATTTAGGATCAGGGAGACTATCTCTGAGATGCAGGTGAAGAAGAAATGTCATCCAAGAGGACAAATGGTGTTCCCTAACCTCTACTGAGGAGCACAGCATCTTAGTAGCATGGACAGGAACCATACAGGTGTATTCTGATACTGTTGGGAGCCTCCTTTCTAGAATGTTCTTCAGAGAAGCTCTGACCTCACCCTTGGCCCCACCCCCTTATGGACACCTAGGCATGAGGTGGTTGCCCCCACCCTCTTGGAAGTTTGTAGCGACCTTGGAGCTACACTTCATGCTGTAGAGAGATAGCAGGGGGCTTCAGTGTCCTGGTGGCAGGGGCTACAGGTAGCCAACATTTTACTGGAGGTGTGAGCTGAGTGTGTTCATGCTTGCTCTCTGCAGTTTTAAGGTTTTCCTCCCTCAGGCCCCATCTTTTCACTGCTTGATGGTCCTGTGGCCTCCTTTAGCCAGCATAGGTTATCCTTTATAGTTTATTACCCGCCTTCCTCTAGAGGTCCTGCACCAGGAAAATGGATTCCTCCTCAGGGTCTCCACCTTGCCCAGCATCTCTTACCGTATTGTTCTGTACAAATGATGCGAAGTTGCCTTCTTCAAAGGAGCCCAGGAAACACACTTTGCCCAGACCGTGAAAGTGTGTTTGATGGGGATGTCGTTCAGTAAACCCAGATTCAGTGGCAAGCTTGAGTTATTCTGGGACCTGGGTTCTGAGGTGCTACTTCTACCTACTGACCTCTTCCCCTTCCCCAGCTGCCGGGCAGTTTGGACTTGAGGAGCGGAGGTTGAACTGAACTGTATATGAGGAGGAACCAGGCGTTGGGGAGAGGCAGGGAACCAGGCTGAGTATATAGGAAGCTGTGTTGTAACCCCCTGGTCTCCAGAGGTTAGTTAGCTTCCAGAGTAAAATGAGCTGGACCAATCCAAAAGACCTTCAGCCTCTCTTAACCTGGGCAAAGTTTGTACATGTTGTAAAGTGTGGCAACATGATAAAAATGTCAGCCAAGGCCCCTCTAGATACCTGAGTGAACTTTGTGGTTTCCAGCTTGAGTCTAAGAACACCTTCTTAGATAGAGCACAGAGGCCCAGAACTATCCACCTCTATCCTAACCCCGGCTCTGCAGGCCCTCCCACCTTGGCCCTCTGCTTTATCCTCTGAGCCAGGCTTCTCCTTACCCTGTCCAGGAGGGACTGCATGGCTGCTCTTGGGAGCAGAGACCTCTGACAGGAAGCCCAGAGCTCCTGCATGGTCACCGGGCCCTGAGTGCATGAAGACAGAGCTTGAGTTCTTTGAAGAACTCAGAGCTCCTGACTGTCTTGACTGAGACTGGCTGCCTTTACTTTTGTTCTGCTTCAACCCATTCATTTCCCATCTCCATGCACCTTATGCATAATGCTTCTGCCAGGAGAGTAACTTTGGACAAAAGCTATGTGCAATTATGCTTCATTTTACTTGTATACGTAGATGTGTGTTATGTATGTGTGGATGCATGTATGCATGTTTGTATATGTACGGGCAAATGTGTGTGGAATGTATGCGTGCAGGGGCCCAGCATTGACATTGGGAATCATTCATGGGTGCTTTTGCATTTTATTCATTGAGGCAAGGTCTCAATTAAGCCCAGTGCTCACCAGTATGGCTACTTGGCGACTGTTCCTAGCCAACTTACCCTCGTGTCTGCCTTCTGAGACTGGAGTTATAGATAGACAAACCCTCATGCCTACCCCACATTTGTGGACATTTAGGAAATTCAGATTCTCACTCCTTATGTTTGTGCAGTGAGTGCTTAACCATTTAGCCAGCTCACACACACACACAGAGAGAGAGAGAGAGAGAGAGACAGAGACAGAGACAGAGACAGAGAGAGAGACAGAGAGAGAGAGAGCGGTTTGAACAATTACCTGCTCCTGCTCCTTTTGGGCAGTAACTGTTTTGGAGCACAGGGTTGACAAGGCTATGTAGATTTGCATCGCCTTCATAGCAACAGGAGCTGGTAATTGTTGTGCTGTTGCTATGTGCCAAGCCCAGTATTGTCTCGTTCATCCTTAACCGCAGTCCCAAGAAACAGATGTTGTTATAGCACTCCCATTTGTAGACCAGGAAATTGAAGCTCAGAGCAGTTAAGTATCTTGCCCAGAGTCACACAGCTGAGAAGTTGAAATAAAACTTGGACTCCAATCTTTAGGACTCTAGCTTCCATGACAACCAAGCTCAAAGGCTACCCTTGGAAACACTACTGAGTGATGTGCTTCTCACTAACTTTACAGATCCATGGACCAGAAAAGTCATTGCCATTGGTGGCCCTATGTGTAACACAAACACAAAGGCCAGGATGACAGGCCCTGTGGGAATGTAGTTTGATCAGGAGTGGAGAGTGCACTA